GAACACATACACCCACACACACACACACGTGCACCCCCCCCCACCCACCCCACACACACACACACACGTGCACCCCCCCCCCCGCACACACACACACACACACACGCAAATGCACCCCATCCACCCATTGACCATTGTTTTGACAATTTGACGCCCATCACCGGGGGCGATGATAGCAATGCTACAGCAGAAACCATAGCAACTTGTTCTGGTATTTCACCATTCAACAGCTTGCAAGGCTGAAGAATTGACCACCAATCGAACGCGCAACATCTCGATTGGAAATCCCTGCACATACATGATACCACATCATCATATGGGACACACCTCCTCCACCCACGCATACATGCACAAACACACGTACATTCGTTGCTGCCCCCTAACTCTTGCCCCCGCCCCCCTCAGCTCACAATCTGTAGGAGCACGTCTGTGAAGTCGAACACAATCATTAGCCAGTTCACTCGGAAACTCCCCCCCCCCTCCCCCCCACAAACATACATGCATAATAATTATGCACCAGAGTGTGTGCTGTGCCGGTATAACAGGAGCCAGGTAAAATCCTTTCTCCGTCATACCACACACAATGTTGACCCATGCACAATGCCAGTGATTGACATTCATGTGAATCACTCCACGTGTTCTTCACAAACAAACATACAGTCTGCATACCGGTGCACTGCACACAGCCAACTGTCAGTGTAATTCAGGAAACACAGAAGAGACAAGGAAATGAAGTGAAAACATCGTGTCAGTACAAGACACTCAAAATAATATTTTTGTATTGCAGGCAGTGTTTTCAGCATGGCAGCGCTCAAGAAATGAGAAAAGATTGAAAAGTTTTTGAAAATTATCTGCTATATAGACAGGCACCACTGGCAAGGAAAGCTCATACGGTCAACTCAGTGTTTGGCCTGGGCAAGAGGAAAATGGGCTTTGCATTGCCCCGTTATAGGCAAGCAGTTAACTGTAGCGGCTGAAAAATCAAGTTTTGTACAAGAATAGAACACAGTGCTCACCGCCAGAGAGAATATATGCCGGGGCTGGTGCTGGCTATAACCATGGCAACTGTACTTTGTCATAGTTACAATCAGAACCCTCCAATCATCTGGAGAGCACATTCAGGATCATCTACCAGCGGCTGTAGCTCAGACACCAACCTGCTGTTATCCCCATACTCTGGAGAGAAGCAGAGCACACTAAGCTGGCTACACTGGCGAACAGCCTGTACGAACCGGGCTAGTACACGTCGTTTCTCCGATCTAGGAACATACGTGAAGGAATACCCGTGGACATACAGTACACCCAGGTTCCTGTTAGAATGGAGAATTTCCAGAATGATCGTGAGCGGCACATCAGCACCGCGCTCACCACTGCATAACCAGTTAAATGAAATATGCCGCAACTTCCTACATGAACTCAGCGCTCGGCAGACCAAAGCTAAGCCGTCAATGCCGACTTTATTGTAATCTAAATCCACATGCTCCAGGCTGGACGATGCGGACAGAATGGCTGATGAAAAGACATTACCATCGGTACAGCGATTCCCATGCAAAGAGAGCACACGTACATGTGTGTAGTGTGCCAAGCCATTAAGAATGCAGCGCATAGCAGTGCTGGGTAAGCTACACCAATCAAGGTACACTTCCTGCACGTCCACACAAAAATGGGTTGTGAGGAAATGAGCAATGGCAGTGCAATCTAACAGGCTGAGGCTCACATAAAGAAAATTCAGAGAAAAGACCTGAGAGAAGAATGAACAATGGCCATTACAAGATGACGTACCTTGATACTGGCAGTGCTCTAGATAAGCTACTAACAAATCAGCTAGGCAACGGCGTTCTCCCTCGCCACGTGGTGCAGGAGGCCGTATGGGTGCAGCAGTAGCAGCCGGGGCAGCTCCAGGTGCCGATGGTGTCGATATCTCCGATGTTGCGCTTGTCGTCGCATGCTGCTCACAATGCGATGCGGTCGCGGGATCCACTTTACGTACAGCCGACAGGAACACCTCTGCACTCGCCTCCACTGCCTCGTTCTTCCATACGCTTACAAGAGTATCCAGGTACAAGTCGTCCGTCAACTCCATGCCTCGTGGCAGAGCATTGTCGACACGCTGACGACCACGTCCTTGCCCGGCGGTGCCAACCAGCAGCTGATCGGCGAGCTCTTTCATCTTTTCAACTGACAGCGCAGATTTCAGCACCGCATGGATACGGTCCACGTCGTTGCTTTTCTTGGTTGGCTGAGAACGGCTCACAATGTCGTCGAGCAGGCGTGTATCAGTCTGGCTGCATGCACGTTGTGTACGGTCGCCGTCGCAGATTATCCGCCACAGATGCTCCATGATGGCGACTGCGGGCTTTGGCGGTGTGAGCGCGATCAGGAAACGCCAGAACATGGTCATGTGACCGCTGTAATGGCCGACTCTCCTCACCAGCCACGCAGCGTCGTTCTCGTCGTTCAGCATCTCGCTAGACACGTACCAGGCCGCCAAGAACTCCTGAATGGACAAGTGAGCAAATCGATATTGCCGGTCTTCTGTTGAGCTGGTGCTCTTGTAAGCCATCAGCAATCCTAATTCAATTGCTGGCGCGCTTAGTTGTGCCGAAATGACATCCTCCTCGTTGAACACCATCTTTTGCTGAGCTAGCATAGAGAGTGCAAAAGCAGATAGCTCCTTCAACACTTCAACCTCGTCTGTCTTGATGGTGGAAAGCATCTTGTAGCGTTTGCCCGCACGTCGTTCCATGACACGGCGGACAAGCAACTCGTACAGTCCTGTACTGGATTCCGGCAATTTACTACCGTCTCTGTCGTCCATGAACAATTCACAAGCCAGCGCAGCAAACAGAGGTGTACACATTAGCGACATTGTGCCCTCTTGTGAGCGGAGCTGCTCCAGCATAGCCTCGCCTTTCACACCGCCCACCACTTTCCTCACATACGTTGCAACGTTGTCTGGTGAGAATCCAACCACCTCCACTTGCTGTTGATACTCTCCACACTGAGACAGAGTATGAGCATCAGTACATGGTCGAGACGTCACCACCACATGCATATCACCACTACGCCTTCTCAACAGTAGATCACGCATGTATTCACTGCAGTTCTCCAACTTGCACTCATCCAGCCCGTCTAGCACAATGCAAAGACGGGACTGGTTGCTGCGAAAGAACCGGGACATCTCCAGCAGCTCATCTATCTCCACATCCAGACTGGAGAATCGACGTGCCAGCAAGTCGCACAAGCTCGTAGCAGCTTGCACCTCGGCACGTCGTAATTCCACTGCCAATACCAGATCAAACTTTCCACGCCACAGCTCACCTTTAGACCAGAGGTATTCCAGCATGATCAGAAAGATCGTGGATTTGCCACAGCCAGCGCTTCCAAACGCTAGTACATTCTTCATTTTCTCTTCCACGGGTTCTTTGGCACGCGCCAGTAAACCAGAATCAGCTACCTCATGGTCACAGCCCGGGCGTGGCGCGGCCCCCTGATTGCAAGACGGCTCGGTGATAGCGGAGAAAATATCTTCCAGTTCAATGCCACGCTCGGCCGTAGCGACCCTTTGCGGCTGAGCCTCGGAGAACAATTTCAACTGGCGTGCTCGTTCAGAAGCAGACGAAAAGGACGATGACTCGTTATTGAAAAGTTTGGAAAGTTCGTCCTTTGTCAGCAACGTCAAGTTGACAAAAATATCTTTCAATGGGATTTTGGCATCGCTGGCAAGTCCACCGCTAATCTGAATACCAGCCTTCTCAACTGCCTTAGCCAGCAAATCACGGGCAGTTCGGACAGAAGCTGGCAACTTCTGCTCGTCGGACGCCATGGGTCACCGACTGGTTTGTGTCCAAGTAGCTGCAAGGAGCACCAGGCAACAACGTCGTGCAAGGAGACGCTACAAGTATTTTTACTTTGCCTGCATGACAGATGATTGTACGAATCCTGGGTGGTCGGTGTGCGCGAGGAGGTGACGGTACGTGTTTAGCTCGGACTTTGTAGTTGTTGCGTTGTTTTTCCACCACTACAAATCATGCATTTTGTGAAGTCCTGTGGTAATGGTGGTAGGTAGATCATGTAGATCTACATGACATGTACGTGGTGGTGATGGGGGGGGGGAGGGGGCGTAGACAATGGTAGATGCACAAGAAGAAACCCTTCTCATTACACACTGCACTGTGCTGCACTGTAAAATGAGTGAAAAATCTTTTTTTCGAAATATTTTAAAATTATTTATATTTCAGTGCTGTTTTATCTGGTGTGCCATACCGGTATACCCCGCATATGCGCATATGCACTGATCTAACTAACTGTTACTTCTAAGCATTGCCTACTGTAGCTACGTGACACCGACTAGTCAGTACAGTCATGACATGATTGTACTGACTACTACTGCTGCACACCAGACTAAAGTAGTACATTATTCCTGTAGTGCTAGTGATGTCCATGGAGTCGTAATATTCCGACTGTGGGGTAGAGACAGACAGTCAGTACTGACTGTTAGGGAGTTTTAGCAACTTGTGAACGACAAGCGCTCGCAAGTCATTATCCATTACTAATGGATATCATTAGAGAGGTTTTTTAAACATGCATGTTATTTCCCACGTGTGACGCCCAATTTCTTCTCAAATTTGGCTTAAAAGTCCAAAGTTGGACGTGAGCTGCAGGTCACTTGGGTTGTTTTTCGACACGCGAGTCAAATAACGCGACCTGAACTAAGTAATTATTTTGACATCACATCAGAAATACCGTGTTTCTTAACCTGTCCAGTGTGTTTAGTGTTAGCAATGCGTTCACCTCTCATACAACTTTTTTCGGAAAGAACTGTGTATATGAATGGACATCACTAGTTTACAGTCGATATGCGCTAACACTTTACTTGAACAGTAACTGTGTGTGCTAAAAATGCATAGCAGCAGCAGGAGTTCTGATCTTGTACAGAGCGTGTTGTACGAGCGTAGAGGAAATGGAATAAGTCGCGGCTGAGCTTGTCTACCAGGGGTTTTCCCCATCCAGTGCATAGGAAAACAAGACTATTTCCTTCTCATCAATGATCTTCTCACTGCACGTCAGAAGATGGACACGAGCCTAGAAATCATCCACCAGCAAAAGAAAACCACAATGAGGATTTGAACTTCAAGTTGGAGCTTCCCTCTTCTCAAATCACACTCTTTTTGAATAAAATCTTCACGCTGCGCTCCTCGCTTATAGAAATCAAATCAAAAAGAAAGGACTTGTATGCCATAACGAATCTACTGCCTTGATTCGTACAGAACGAGCTCGGCTTGCGGTGCGAAACGAGACTCAAACCCAGGCACCCGAGTTGACCACGGACTCGGACTCGTACTCGTTGACGAGTTGCTATAACCAGGCACCCGAGTCGACCACGGACTTGTACTCGTTTACGAGTTGCTACAACTCTCTACTGACTGTGTAGATAGCAGGGAGTTGTACAGCTGTTCCCATGGTTACTGATCAGTACATAAACAGTCGGTATTGGCTGTGTATAGGGCTTGAAAGTGATGACGTCAAAAACGGCCTGGGAGTAGTAAGTTGACATCAGATTTCTATTTTGGATCCACTAAGGTGTGACTTTGCTATTGCCTTAGTATGTGGGTGCATAGCAACCCACTCATATCTTATGCAGACATGACTTTTACTTCGTCACCAGTTGTCACCCCGCCCCCACTAGCCAAATCAGTCAGTTTCACTGGCTACATCACCTTGCTGTGAGTAATACCGCTTGGAATGTGCTTGGATCCATACAAAAACTGGATCCAGGTGGATCCAATTTTTGAATTTTTCAAATTGTTGCTCTGCCATTGCTATGCTGTGACGTAGCACTTTCAAGCCCTATTGACTGTGTATTGTGGTGTGATCGTCAGCACGGTACATGATGGGGAGTGTGGTCACTTCTCTCAATGTGCTCATCACTCTTGGTCTGGCCTGGCATGCATCATGCAGCAGTCATACAACAATCAGATACCATAATAATTATTATGCATGTACAGATTTATATGTGATTTCATCATCAGTTGGGGATACGTAGGCAAAGTCACAGGTCCTTACCACATGAGTAGTATAGTGCCGTAGGGGTTCTGATCCAAAAGTGACCTTTGACCCCTGGCTTCCTAATAAGGAAGAATAGTCCATATATGGCAGATGACCTTTGACCTTTGAGTTGACCTTTGACCTTTGAGGTGCCATATAAGGCTGAATAGTCCATATATGGAAGATGTCATTTGACCTTTGACCTTTGTGGTGACCTTTGACCTTTCCGTATACGGATGAATAGTCCATATATGGAAGATGACCTTTGACCTTTGACCTTTCCATGTGACCTTTGACCTTTGCTGTGACCTTTGACCTTTCCAAATACGGATGATTGGTCCATAGAAGGAATGTGACCTTTGACCTTTGGGATTGGTCTATATATGGGGAGAAGTGTCCTTATAAGGAAGTTGTACACGGATGAGGTCATATAAGGCATCTTCCATAGTGGGGTGAAGTGTCCTTATAGGGAAGGTGTACACGGATGAGGTCATAGAAGGCATGTGTCATAAAGGGGTGAAGTGTCCTTATAGGGAAGGTGTATACGGATGATGTCATAGAAGGCATGTGCCATAAAGGGGTGAAGTGTCCATATAGGGAAGGTGTACACGGATGATGTCATAGTAGGCATATTCCATAGTAGGGTGAAGTGTCCTTATAGGGAAGGTGTACATGCTGTAGTTTTTAAGGCATATTCCATAGTGGGTGGAAGATGCCTTATATGGCATGCGTATCCTGGTCAGGTCATATAAGGCATGCAGTCATAGTTGAAACAATCATTGAGGGCCTTTCTGTCTGAGGCTTTGAAGAAAAGAAGCATCATGTAACAAAGCTGGGTTCGTACCCGCAACCTCTCGTACGGAAGGCATGAACTGTACCAAACGACCAGGACGACTACACACAAGACCCAAGGCTCAAATCGCCTATTTATACCCGGACCGTAAAGAAGGAAAAAAACGCATCATGTAACAAAGCTGGATTCGTACCCGCAACCTCTCGTACTGAAAGCACCAACTGTACCAAACCACCACGGACGACTATGCAGAAGAGGGAAGGCTCAAATTGACTACATATACTGGGACCGAAGCTCACCAAGGTCTCGCTAGACATCAGCGACCTATCGACAATGTCATCGAGCATGGAAAGAAGGGTGGGTGGTGGTGGTGGGATCAGCATGGCAACCAACAGATGGACAGTCGCCAACAATCACTACCCGGTGAAAGGGAGCTGAAGGCCCCATTTTTGGGGTAAAAAAACCGGGTGCTGTATTCTTATATTTAAAAATCATTTTTCGGGTGTTTGAGGTGGTTGAGGGGATATGACATCATGATTGTACCCCCAATGGTTATACCTGTTAATTGCCTCGGATGGGAGTCGGTATATAAAGTAGATACATTGTTGGATAATGTTTCATTATGAAGATGGTGATGATGTGGGGTGAAGATGGATTCTGATTTTGATATCTTACGTGCCTATGTACGTGAAAAGAGACTTCGTGAAGTAGAAGAAGAACAAGCAAGAGAAGAAGAAGAAGAAGAAGAACAACAACAACAACAACAACAACAACAACAACAACAACAACAACAACAACAACAACAACAACAACAACAACAACAAGAAGAAGAGCAAGAAGGGGAGGAAAAACAGTGTCATCATCTTAATCATGTTGTTCATGAAGGAAGATACGTATGTTCTTCGTGTGGACTTGTCATGGATGTGGTTTACTTACCTGAAGTTGATGTGCATCAGAGATGTAGTTTGATGAAGAAGCCTTATGCTGCACATGAGCGGTTATGTGGTGTGGATCGTCATCTTTTGCATTTTCTTTCGAAAACTGAACTCTTATCCGATCATCTTCGTGTACACCCTCTTCGAGAGCAGATAAGTGCGATGAAGAAGTCCTGTTTGTACAAGAGTCTAAACTATTCTATAGCATTATCCTGTATAGTATACGATACGAATGCGGATGCATTACGTAAACTACATTCCTACTTACCTCGTAGCAATGTGTCCTGGTTGAGGTTCAGTCGAATCATGAAACCTCTTCCTCAGCATTTTCCACTCCTATACGTACTGCATCTCATGGAGTCGACTAGGATGGTGTCTTCATTGCAACTGTCCACGTTGCGTTCGAATTTGCTGCTTTTATCTCCATCTGATATATCTCTTATGACATCATTGATTGATGCTTATTGCTGGGAAACCTATTCACTTGATCACGTGATCCAGAACATGCACACGTTTGACTGCGATCTTATTTCTATACTGTATCAGTTCACAAAGGTGGCGGTATCGTGTAAGGAACCTTTAAAATGAGATGGATTTTAGCGTGCACGATGCTGATTGGTCAAATATTTTTGGTGGGCTTGATTGACTGTATACTACTTTCTACTCCAATATCTCATGATAGTCATAAAAAAATAAAAAAATAAAAAAAAATATTAAAAAAATAATAAAAATAAAAAATAAAACTTCTAAAGAACAAGTATGGGTGGTGTTGTGTCGAGTAGTACGTCCACTGAAGAGTGCTGCCTTGTCTCTTCTGACTCTAGTATCCCCACTCCTACTACTAGTGGAGAATGGGTTGCAGGATGTGAAAAGAATGGAATTGGGAAAGATGAACCAGGGTGATCTCATGTGCACACCCATCAGGGAATACGATTTATTTGAGAAAGAAAATATTTCCTAACCTAATTAGTACAGTGTGTGTGCGAAGATGGCATACTGGGCTACGCATTTCCATAGGAGTAATGGTGACGAGGCCTCCCTCAAACACATGCAAAGCATGCGGAATGACATTGCCGAGATGCAATCGGTTCAGTCCGTGCGCCAGATTCAAAATATCGCACTCTATCCGTGTTTTTTATTTTCCAGAGTCAGTGGACTTTGAACTTTTTGAGCTATTTCTTGAGAATTGTTAGTTTCTAGTCATTGCAAGGTGGGCCTTACAAGGCCCTTTTTCGTTCGAGTTCAGACCTGACACGCCGTCCATCGCCGGATAAGGCAAACTTCTATCCTCAGTTTCGAACGTTTTCTCGCGGGGTGCTTCTGTCCCATGCAGCATCACGTCTTCTCCGACTGTCGAAATTTGAATTTTTCTTTACGCAGGACTTTAGCTTAGTGCCGTCAAGTATTCCAGGCACGCGTAGTAACACCCACTACAACATCCAGAAGAACAAGCCTTAGTCTTTTAGTATGTGGTCTCTCGCCGGTGTCCAAGACCAAATAACACCACAACGACCAATTTTCTAACCTCTGTTTTTCTCGTTATTTACATGTATATGGAGGACAGCTGGAAACATGTAGCACTCACAATGAACACATCAGGACGGTGTAATAATGCCACTCAGCTACACCCTGGGCGTGTATGCATTCCTGTCTGCGAGTTATGCCAAGCAACTCGTCTGGACACCAGTGCACACATCCAACAAATGCAGAATATTGGAATATTTTGGTAAAATAGTGAACGGCGAAAGACAAAAACCCAAATTGCAGCCACCTACAGACTAATATCCACATACGCTGGCTGTGTAAAGGAGTGTCAATGAGAATCTTCATTGCGTTACTACAGAAGTGTATGAAACGGAACGTAGCGGACAAGCTCAAAAGTGCACGCCGAGCCAATATAGGCGGCATTGCAGCACATGTAAGACAGTTATGGACAAACAGGCACAGATGAAGTGTTCCCACTATGAAACGGTCTCAGCAGTTCCAAGAAGTAAGAACAGGACAATAGCATAGAATGATGTCTTTTGCAAGAAGTGCTACGAGGCACAGCTAGAATAAATAATAGTTGACAGCAGTGCAAGCATTCACAACAAAGCTATTACAGCTGATCGCTTGTCACACTCAGATCTGCGATAATCCTCTGGCTGAGCTAACAGCACTACTGGGAGAACACATGGATGTTTGCACACTAGCACAAAGAAGCGAGTCATTCCCCTTCTGCGGAAAGGCTGCAATACCCAAGGTCCTCTTCGTGCTGTTCTCACACAATGCCAAGACGCGTTAATACCCAAGGTCCTCTTCGTGCTGTTCTCACACAATGCCAAGACGCGTTGGAGCACGATCTACCTGAGAAGACACACAGATCGCACAAGATAAGGCAGCATTTTAAGTTTTTAACGACAGTAGGAATAATGCATGAAACACAGAAAGTAATTCAATGGAAAAAGTGCTCCGCTCTTTATATACTATACTTTTCCAATGTTATACAGATAATACACTGAACTCCATGGAAGTGGATTTGGTTGTCCCTATTAGTATAATTGCAGTGGGTGCTGCTTCACTTGAACCATATTTTGGTTCCAGTGAAGCAGCACTCACTGCAATAATTTGCAGAAAAATTTCTCAATCGCATTGTCGCGCATCGCGTCGCAGAAGTGATATCATACATCGCGCTTTAGAATGTTGGCATGGCTGGGCATCACTGCCGGTAGTTCTGCCAAGAGGACGTAACCCGGATTATTAACCCCTGGTGGATCGGTTACACACAGAAACGCAGCAGGTTCGAGGCAGTGTCTGCATGCGATACACCATGCACACAAACCTTCATAAGGCTCTTATGAGAAAAAGCGCACTTTCAATCTGAAAACCACAGCAGATCGTTGCGCACTGCCCCAGCCGGTACCCCAGTTTGTCGCTACGTAATGTGGGCAGCAAGCCCCTTCAGACCCCTCGTGCAAAGTTGCATGCTCTTGGGGCTATGGACTCTTGGTTCAGCCACCAAAATATTATGAATGCAGTGGAGCTGCGTCAGCGGCGTACATGAAACGAGACAGCATTCGGTTCGTTTTAATCGATAATATCGACAGAGAATATATTATTACAATGACACCAAGAGAAGCTTTCATGGCAATTAAGGCCAGCATGTCCATCCGCAGCCATGCAGCAGCAACAACGAGGGTACATCTCAAGAGAATACAACTACAAGTCCATACCCACTAAAATGTCATGCAAATTTTACAATATACAGAGTGTCAAGACATACAAATTTCGCACTTTCGGATTCCTCAACAGTACCATCCTAAGCACAGGCACACTAAACGGGAAGAGAACACATTTATTTATGACATCGTATTCCTTTGGATGCTTCTTTCTTCTTGTTGTGCTATTTTCAACAAGGCAACACTTGTGCTCGTAAAAATACTAAAAAACAATTTTGAGATTCCACTTAGTGCCATCGGTTATTCCAGGCAGGAATGCTCAAACCATTATCATCTCTCTACACAACAATATGTACTTACTAAGATCCGCCATGAGAGCTTGGTGTCCGCAGCTCTTGGAAAGCTCAGCTCGTCTACTTCTCGATGCCAGTCGGCGAAACCAGCAAATCGTGGAGAGCAGTTTCTTCCATAAATAAAGCCCAAGATGGCGTTTGCGATTCAAATTTTCTACTCGGCGTCAAAGCACAACATTGAACTCATCATCTTCCATTGCTGCAAAGGCAAAGGAGCGAAGACAGGCCGCGAGAAAGGCCAAAACAATTGCCAAATTTCTCCCCCAACTGCCATTGTCGTCATCATCTTCACCAACACAGTTTTGTGCAGACTTTTTCCCGCGGGATCGGACCCAGGAAAATGAAAACGGCCCACTCAGTGGCCTGGCGCACGGACTGGGTTGTGGTAGTCCGTGAGCCAAATCTCAGAATCGGCTGTTTTAGCATCGACCGTTGCACCCAGAGAGGGACAAATCGTCCTTCAGCACACCGCTTCACGATGGTATCCTGAAGCGATTTCCACTTGTTGGACAGTTCGAAACTGATCCAGGGAGGTCACAGAAGACGCCAAACATCCAACTTTGCTCACTGACAGCAGCGGCCATTTTCGCCTTCTTCGCTTGATTTTTTTGCGCTTGTTCACGGATTCTCATTTTTTGAAGCCATGAGCAGGTACCACGAGTGCACATAACGCGGAAACCAGTGCACAAAACTAGATTCGAATTTTTTTGCCGCTGAGAATTATGAATCGGGATGCAAACTGCATCAGTGCATGCAGCAAAGTCAATACTGTTTGTAGTTACAATGCAATCGTTCAGAACTGACTTCCAAGAATGTCCTAAATATCTCTCGACATATTTGTTCACCACTTCCTAGGCCAATAGGCGTAGTAGACTGTAGTGAGTAACCTTCTGGAGCAAATGACGACTGCCCCGAGCATGAACTTCTTTTCATCCTGTTCAAGGTCAAATATTACTCAGTTTGCGTTGAAGAATAACACTAATTCGTGAATGGCCGAACTGAGAAAACCCTCATGATTTCTCTTGGATTTCGTATCCCAAGTTCCTCTACTTGGCTGGATAAATCGCCTCTTGACTTCATCATACTGGACTGGAACTTGTAGATAATAGCGAGCAATGAATTGGTGAGTGAAGTATATTTCAAAAGTAATAACCACTCGATTACTGAATAGTAGTGAATACGTAGAATACTCCAGTATTATAATGATATGAACACCGAAGCTAATGTGACATTACAGTAGTACAATAGGAAGTACGTCACCACTGTTGTAAATGCACGCGCTGATCCTATCCAACCTGACGGCCAATGCAAGAGGTTGGAATTGGCTATTGATTTCCTCACACACTCATACAGCACCAAAAGCTATCTGTCATTGCTCATTTTCAACTCAACATAACACAGTTGCAAATCACCAGGTGCACATCTTGGCACATAATGTGTGCTGTCGCAGTCCACCGCAGAACATAGTAATCCACAGATACTACCGATATAAGATGATGTCACATACATACATGTACATACATGCATGCGCGCACGCACGCACACACACACACACACACACACACACATGAAGCAGCTGAAGAATCCGAGTATGCAGTCTCCCAGGCACGCGCACACACATGAACCAGCTGCCGAATCCAACTATACAGTCTCCCAGGCATGCACGCTCGCACACACACACACACATGAACCAGCTGCCGAATCCACACAAACACGCGCGCGCGTGCGTGCGCACACACACACACATGAACTAGCTGTCGAATCCGACTATGCAGTCTCCCAGGCACGCGCGCACGAACACGCTTATGCGCACGCGTGTGTGCGCGCACACACACATGAACCAGCTGCCGAATGCGACTATGCAGTCTCCCAGGCACGCGCGCGCGCGTGCGCACACACACACATGAACCAGCTGCCGAATCCGACTATGTCAGTCTGCCATGACTGCGAAACCAGCGAAGACATACGGTGCATTGGCTGCTGCCAGACTGGTCTGCTACAGGTTTGCGACTCTCTTGAGTACACTTGTGGCATGGCAGGCCGCTCTTCGAAAAGGAAATGTTACAAATACTACACTGAATCCGATCACGGGAGGCCGGCTGTGGCGGTGAAGCAATTCTGAATGCTGTACGCCACTCTCCTCGCTGCTGTGCAGTGTCGAACCAATGTCCTTCAAGATGTAAGTGATGGATGTCTCTTCGGACAACATCACACCAATGCTGTCGGGTTTCACACACACACACACACACACACGGCGCACACCTTGTCGACAATTGCGGAATCTAAAACCCACCAACGACCTGAAACACGGATCGCACTGGCCGCAGTGGCTGTGGCAACACCGTGCCCCAACACCAGTAGTAGCCTGGGGTGGTGTCACCAACAAAGGAAAACGCCTAGCACGCACATGCACGCGCGCGCGCACACACATGCACGCTCGCACACACATGCACGCTCGCACACACATGCACGCTCGCACACACACATGCACGCGCGCGCACGCACACACACACATGCACACGCACGCACACATGCACGCGCCCACACACACAAACACGCGCACACATGCACGCTCGCACACATGCACGCGCGCGCGCACACACACAAACACACGCACACCCAGAAATGTGCACACAAACACGTGCGCACACACACACATACACAGCTAATGGTACACAGTAGTATGTTGCCCGCAAAGCAGCCAGGTGCTCTGGCTTGGACCTCCAGCAGCGCTGGTTTCGCCCTCGCTACTTGTCGTCTTGCCCTCTCCAGTGCTGCCTGCAACAAAACATTCCCTTCCGGAAACTCTGGGTGGACCAGTTCTCCGTGTTGTGTTTACACCGTGCTCTGCTTTCATAATTACCGGTATGGCATTCGTTGTTCGTATCAACCACTAAGCTCCTGGTAGGTGGCCCCTTACTGGCCTTAGGATGTGGCTCTGGGTTCACTACTACATGCACATCACTGTCAGCAAGTATAGACAAAGCAAAATCAGAGGCACTGGTCTTCTCCAGGTTTGCAATTGCTATCACATGCGTGCAATTGGTGTAGCACTTTCCATGATACCAGCCATACCATTTACTCCTCCCTGAGCTCTTGTGCTGGCAGAGAAAAGCCCAGATATGGTCGTCCTTCTCTCGAGCAGCGCTGACGATGCGACACCAACTTGTAGTCTCCATATTACTCACTGCAGGCTTCTCGTTTTTACTAAATTGGGCGCTGTGACACAGACACAAAATTCCAGCAATATTACTCCGCTGGGCTGTCATTTGCCACTTCGTTGCCGTCAGCTGCCTCATCCAGCACCTCGCTGCCACTAGAAACGTCTTCCTCGTCTTCCATTGTTGTCAAAACAACATCAATGTACACGAAAGGAATAAACTTCAATAAAGTGATCACAATATCCCAAGTCGATATTGTCGTCAACGTCGTCATCTTCTAAAAAATAAATTATTTTTCCTCACTCCACGCGAACTCGTGTTTTGCGCTTGCTCATACGACGCACACCTCACCACTCGCGTAAAAATATTTTGTTCTCACGGTGGAATTTGGTCGAGAAAAGAAGCCCTCGCGAAGGTCTCTGGATCGGTTCTGGAACGTCCAACAAGCGAAAACGTATCCTTTGTGATGTCCTTGACCAACACTGTAAGCGGCGATTTGTCCATCCGAGAGTGCAACGGCACTTGTGATTTTGAGTTTTGGCTCACGGACTATGGGGAACGATGACACCGAAAACACCTTGGTTCATGATGTGGAGAAACTGAAAGAGGAGAAAGCCGATGAGAGCAATGTGCAAGATGTGGAAAACAGATCTATGCGCTACACAGATCAAGCCATAGCAGCTGATGAGCTGCACGTTAAAACAGACGGATCCGTGCCCATGGATGCTAACCTCGACATGAACGAGCATTCCATCTGTAATTTGACGTACGACGATAGCTCTTTGACATGTGCTGTCCCTGCCGGTTGGGTCAAGAATGAAATCCGTCGATCATCATCAAGATTGCAACACGACATCGACGCTGTGCGCAAGATGAAAGGTCCTCGTGGTGATCGGGGATTGGGATGGCTTAGCGGAGGTGATATGCCACTGAACTCTGTAGGGAGAAACGGTGACTTCTATGTGGATGCAACCACGCTCATCTTGTACAAGAAATTCAGCTCGGAATGGATGGCTTTCGGTCAGCTTCATAGATCAAGAGGTGAAGCTGGTCCACGTGGAGAACGTGGATTGATCGGTCCTGAAGGTGAGACTGGACCTAGAGGAGCTGATGGACAAGGTGGTGAACGCGGTCAAAAAGGTGATCAAGGAATACCTGGTCCAGAAGGTCCCAGAGGTAAAGTTGGACCACGTGGAGAACGTGGATTAGTCGGTCCTGAAGGTGAGATTGGACCTAGAGGACAAGATGGGCAAGACGGCTCACAAGGTGAACGTGGTGTCCAAGGTGATCAAGGAACCATAGGCCCCGTCGGCCCCCAAGGAACCATCGGTCCAACCGGTCCTCCAGGAGAAAGAGGTCCCGTGGGCCCCCAAGGAACCAGAGGCCCCGTGGGTCCGCAATCAAATCAGAACCTATCCGATCCGTTTCATCTACTACCTCTCATTCGGAGAAACGCCTACCTCTACATATACTCTCATCCTAGCCGATTTGAATCCGTCACCAGGGTAGGCAGAAACAGATACAGAGGTGTAAATCTCGTTGACTTGAAGGACAAGAGAATCATCGTGAACGACATCGACATGTTCCGAGACGGTCACTTCTACCTCAACATTTCACAACACGAGCAAGTTTCCATTAGAGAACGATTCGTCAATCTGTTTCACGACAACATGTCTTTTGCAATGTTCCAAGTCATTCAAGTGGATGCACCTGTCCCTAGAAACATGGTGTTGAGGGCATTCGACATCGATACTGTCGGAAATTTCACCTTGGATAGTTTGTACGTGTTGTTCACTGCCACCCACATAAGTGGCAACTACTTCACGGGTTCCGGCTATTCATCATTCAACCTACCCGTTTCGTCTTTAGCGAACCGATTATCAGGGGCTTTGGATAAGCCTGTGTCGAGCATGACGGATCTCTTGGGTACAAAGTGTGTCATAAGTTACGCTCGGAATTCAGAAGGCCTATTCACTCTATACGTAAATTCCAACTTGGACACGGATCCATTTTCCAGAACCAATGGAATCGAAGATTGCGATTATCGCATTGGTGGTACTCAATTCTTCAACGGCACTACGTCAAAGTTGTTCTGTCATTTGCACTTTGTCGAGAGTTTATCTTCTCACACAATCCAGCGCATCCACACAGAACTCATGGCACACTACAATACCTGAAAGTATTAAGTACTTCGATTGTACATATAATATATATAG